AGAGTCTAGATAATTACCAACGCAAGATAATTGAAACAACCACGTAGCCCATCGTAACCACTGCACTCAACTGCTCAGAGATGATGAAGTCAAAAATCGGAAAAATATGGGAAACAATGTCAGCGGTAACCACAAACTGCTGTACAAGTATGTCAATCGTCATCATAAAGTAAGAAAGTGAATTCCTCTAGTCCGGACAGCCAATGGTCCAACTAGAACAGGTATAGAAGCTGCAACCGCGTGGTGGACGCAATATCTTGTCAAATTTCGGAGGGTCTTACCATCCGGCGATTTTCTTCCTTCTGTTTTCCCGCCTCCAAGACTCACCCACATCTCTTTTACTGCCGAAGCTGTATTGCAGAAGCTGACGTCTCTACACAAACACAGCTTTCCGGGAGTTGACACCATTCGCCTAGAGGCACTGGGATCAGCAGCAAGACAACTGCCAAAACCGTCGACCCAGTTCTTTCAACGCTGCTTAGACCAGAACCAGATTCCTGCGATGTGAAAGCTTGGAATAATAACTGCGATTCGCAAAAGCGACAGCAGGACTTAGCCCTCAAACTGCCGCCTAGTGTCTCTTATCCCTGTATTGTCTAAGGTTATGGAATCCATCGTTGCCGATGCGTTGGTATGTTATCTAGAAAATTGTAACATTGTTGCTTCTTGTAACAAGGCTTTAGTTAACACTGATCGTGCGCAAGGAAGCCATAAATCGCAAGGAGTAGTTGGACCGAGTCAGCTGATAACGGAGAGGCCGCTCCTATGATCTACTTGGATGTATCGAAGGAATCGGTGGTTTAGATCATCAGATTCTCCTTTCCAACCTCCAAGATTTCTGTATCGGTGACCCTTTCTTGAGATAGATCGACAACTTTCTTCTACAACGAAAATTAGTGGTCAGAGTCCGGAGTTCCTTATCTGAACTTATACCATTCGAGTATGGTGTGATTCAGGGCTCAGTTTTAGGGCCACGATTGCCTTGGTCTTCATCAATGACCTTGCACAGACCATCGCCTCAAATCTCCTACTGATTGCTGACGATCTCAAGATATCGCGCCTAATTCAGGTGGGTGCCGATCAGAGTTTACTTCAATGTGATCAAGATACGGTACATCAGTGACCAACCGGAAATCTGCTACAGTTCAACATGGACAAATGCAAGGTACTCTCCATGCGACACTAGAGTATCTATTTCCACCGGCTAGAATGGTAAGCACTGCAGCGATCATCAGCCGAACGCGACCTTACCGTGCTGGTTCAGAATAACTTGGATTGTTCCAAGCAATTCGCAAAGGCATCGAAAACTGGCAACCAGCACGTCGGCTTGCTACGACGAGCGTTCGGAGAAATAGAAATCACTATTTGCAGACAGATGCTTAATGCGTACATTTGCCCCCATGTCGATTACGCAATGCAAGCCTGGCGGTCATGGCTGAAGCACGAACTTACTGCAATGGACCAACCTCAACGTCGGGCTTCTAAATACGTCATTGGAATGCGCCACCTACCGTACGAGCGGAGGCAGAAACGTTTGGGATTATTCAACGGGCGGTATCGCCGATTACGAGGCGACTTGATTAGGGCGTATTTGATTTTACACAAGCCAAATCAGTTGTGCAGCTCTTTACTGCAACAGCAGGTACACCGAAATTAGAGGTCACGCCTTGAAATTAATAGAACGATACTGTCGTCTGGAGTGTCGTGGAAATTTCTTTCGAATTCGCGTATCTTAAAAATGGAGTAATCTCCCCGAATCTGTTGTTTCTGCACCCACGTTAGCCATATTTATAAGTACTCGGTTGGATGACGCACTTCGCCACTTACATTTTGTTTCTTGACACTACTGTCCATCCTAATCCAGGGGATATGTCTTGGATTTAATTTTTCACCTACTGAAACTATAGAAATACTCGGAGTGCATGGCTACTGCATTAAATACGATAAGTGAATTCTTTCGACAGTACAACTACTACCTGCAATCTTTAACTAATCTTTTTCGAAAACACACTAGACTACTCAACGGTGGTTGTAAAGCAGTACTTCGTAACCCGTATGTAATCATTGTTCATTTTTCATGGTACAACATTCACACATACCGTCGATCCTAGATATCAAAGAAGAGCTAGTTAAAATGATCAGTTGGTCGACTTTTGTTTGTACTTTAATCAGCTCTGCTGGTCAGATAACTGACAGCGTTATTTCCTGCGTCAGCAAATTAAGTGTAGCCTTTCGGAGATTTTATCGTCTATGGAGATGGTGACATATCAGCCTGTTTGTCAAAGGGTGTTGTGCAACGCTGTGAACTACAAACACGACCAATCCGTTCAGACAAATCGAGCAACAGAGGATGTGTCGAGCATTCGTAATAGGAGTACGCGTTACATGTCATGAGCTCTTTCAAAACCGTCTATCCTCAATTACCCCAACGCGCTTGATACCGCAAGTGCAGAGAGATGGATAAATGCATAAGTCGGTAACTTGTGACTCTGGTGTACCTAGGCTGAATTAACGTGACAGATGACAAGACAAGGATAGATGGAGGAAAATGGATTAGCCGTTTCAAATCAGCGCAAGAAACTACAATCATCGGATGGAAACAAGGAACTGGATGAACAGTACTGATAGCAACGATTTTGATGCGTGCAGCAACGTTTCATCCAGGATGCTAAACGATCACTCTCACCCCTTACATAGTATCTAACTCTAAACTCTATCTACTTCTTCCAACTAGTCGTATAAAAACTCAACCTTGCTGTATTTCTCATTGAGTTCATTGAGTGGTAGAGAGCAAAATGGAAGTACCCCGTCAATTCCTTCACATCTCGATCTTCCAAGGATTGCAGGTGTAGTAGCTGTGGCATAGCTCAGGATGTAGTATCAGGCCTGCATGATCCTGGAGTACTCAGTAGAAAGATGTCTAGCAAACGTTTGAAACTCGCTTCTGACTACGCATTGACAATCGGGTCAGGCAGTCGGTTCCAGTCTTTAGTTACTCGAGTAGAGAGAGCAACATCTGAGCGAAATTTGAACCTTCTCCGTTTGAACAGCTTCCAGCTGTGACCTCGAGTCGATCTGTCAAGTCTTAACTGAAAAAGCTGTCTAAGCTCGTTTCCCAGTTCTCCTCGTAGTGTACGCCTGGTATAGATATGGGCCTCCGCGAAGTCGGCAATAACCTAAGGGAAAACGTTCATCCTCTACCAGGAATGAAACAACACTTGTGTGACCGTATGCTTGATTAAAAATGCATCTTGTTCATTTTGTTACTGTCATAGTTTTACTTTCTCATTAGTGTTTTGCGGTAGTATATTCGCAGTATTCGAGTGAAGCACTGAATAAACGATACTGCGGGTGTTCAAACATTTTTGACTTGATCCACCGACTGCATATGTTTTGATTTATTTACTTGCGTTACGGTAACGGCGGGACAACCGCACGATGGGAGGCAGTGCTCTAATACAAAGCTTGATGAGGAAAACTAGGTAGCTTTCAGAGAATAATAACCCCAAGTATGATACCACTTAAGCTGCCGAGCATACTGACGCATGTATTTGCTTGAGTAAGTCCAACTCCTCAGTCTATTACAAGTTCAGAGCAATAATTTTCCGGATGTGCGGTACACAAAGTAGTCGCAGATGACTTGGCAAGCAAAATGTCAGTTGGAATCCATTCTGAACATGATTCAGTGCTTTCAATTCACCGTATTCTACATTAGCAGCCCAGTACTGTTCACAAGTAATAAGGGTCACTATATTTTGACAGCAAGTATGCAACTCCATCAATATCACTGGAGCGCGATGATTTTCTATGACTACAAAGGTTGAGCGATGGCATGCTGCGTTTGGTAATAACGTGCCTTAATTATCCACCGCGGCTGAGTGGTTTGCGTAAGTCAAGAGTGACAGGCGCTCCCTGGATGATAAGGCCTGCTGTGGTCGACTTGCCGAGGTCACCGCCGCGGACAACATTGCGGCTGTGCAAGTGATGCTGGGGGAGGATGCGCGTGAATGTGGCGTGGTTGGTGGAAGCCATCGGAACCTTATCGGGGTCAATCTGCAACATCCTACATGAGAAAATCCGCCTCAGAAAGCTGTTCGCACGCTGGGTACCCCACCAGCTCAATGAGGACCAGAAAGCAGCTCAGGTGAATTCGTACCGCACCATGCTTGCCAGGTTTGATGGTGGACGTTATAATGCTCTATAGGAGATCCTCAGTCATGAGGAGACCTGGGTATACAGTTTCGACCCAGATACCAGGCAACAATTAGCTCAGTGGATGACCGTTGGTAAGGCGTAGCCACCGAAATTCCGACGTGCGTGCAGTGCGGCCGTGTGGCCACTGTACCGCTCGTATGGCAACGCACAGTAACTGAAGTCTAATATGCCACCCACTGTCTGCCACAAGTGCTAGAAGATGTAGGCAAGCGTCGTCCAAAGACTCGAGCACGAGGCAATTTGCCGCACCATGAAAATGAACATGCACCCAGGTCCTATGTCGTCGTAGGTATTCTGGCTACAGAAAGCTTACAGAAGGGTGGTCATCCGATCTAAAGTCTAAACCTGGCTCTGTATGACATACTGTGTTCCCAATTGTCAAGCACATGATGCGTGAAATCCGCTACAAGTCTCCAGAATCTACAGGGGAGGCCGTTAATGAACTGCTTGAAGGGTTACCAGCTTCGGCATGGTGTAGTTGTTCTCCGAATGGGTTGATCTCCTGGAACGGTGCATGAACGCTGGTGGCGAGTATTTCGAAAATATATCCTGCTTATTTTATTGTAGAAAATAAAACTTTTTATGCATCCGGAAACGTATCGCTCTACCCTCTTAGATGCATTAGTTTCCATTGGCAAGGCAGTCAAAATGTCACAGTATAATGATCTTTATTAAAAGCTAACGATCTATTTGACAAATTGCAAGGCGAAGGCCTGGAGCCGGATGCTCTACGTGCGGTTGAATGCGCGCTAATGTAAACGAATCTTACGACATGGTTGACTTACCATGGTCTGAAAACAGGAATGTAACCGAACTAGGAAGGGGGGTTTGCTCGGCAACGCAAGGACGTGTCGCTCGGTCATGGTGCATTCAACATCATCATCTTGGAGGATGACATCTTTCTTCAAAATCTTCACAGCAAACAGTTCGTCTAAGTTCTTTTGCTCTGCCAACACCACCTAAAATGAGGAATAGCAATGAACCAGGGGGCGTCAGTCATAAAGACCAACAGAATGTTGTTGGAGACGCCATGTCCGAAACAATATTACAGCAGAAGACCAGTTGAACCATATTTTGAAAATGTGCAACTAAGGAACCTATGAAATGTTTGGAATCTGTCCAGTGAGAGGTAACATCTTGACAACCAAATACTGCTAACCAAATCATCAGTACACACTTAACGATGCAAAAAAACAGACCATGCATTTCCTTACGGCAAATATAATACGCAAGACTAATTGTAACAAAATTCCACATTGTGAACTCTGAAGCTGAAGTACAGCAGTGCTGGTTTAATTAGAGCTACTTTTTCTCTCATCTAATTAGGGCGCTCTCATTGGCCAAGCGTAAAGTGGAAATAACGTGCTCTTTCAGTAGAAAAAGTACAACTTATTTCGATGTTATCCCCAGCTTCGCCATAATTATGGGGGCTAACTTGGAAACAAACGGAAAATGTGCTTTGCTACCAGGAATATCCGGCAGAATATGTAGAACAGACAGATCACCCCAAGGGTTAAGGAACGACAACAAGAATATTCAAGCAATATATAGCTAAAGTGATCAATACTGTTGCCGAATAGGTCCATTTAGAAGTTAGCATATAAAGAGGGTTCGTAAGCCCTAATGCAACAGCCAACGTGAACAGTGTTTCACCATCAATAACTGTTGTTGGAAGGTTTATAAAACTGTATTTGGGAAGTTAACGCTATTCGGGTGCATACTGTCAAGTGATTCGCCACGCTGTTGACAAATGATACCAAGGAAAATGGAACAGTCAACCAAACAAGTATAGAGATCAAACACTTTAATCATTATCCTCATCTAGAAACATTGCCACACGACATCTTTCATACTCACGGATTCCCTGATAAATTGCTTCAGAGCAAATAATGGACTTTCAATTTTTCGGTCTTCATGGGCTTAGTCAAACGTGGAAGCATTTTCTGGATACAGTTGTGCATAACAACGAAGGATTGCAAAGCTATCACGGCAATGCCCACAGCGAATATATAGCTCATAGCAGCCCCATGAGTCGTGAAGTTAAGAACTGGTTCTATGCACGCCGCTTTAACTAGTCATTTGAAGTGGAATGCCGTTCACGAAGATTATCCACCAATCTCCCTCATTTTATCCCACCAACTCTGCGCAAAAGGACAACGCGAACCAATGAAGCACCTACCGGTGTGCAGGTGGCCATCCCAGTAGTGTAAAATAACATCCAAAGCAGTTTTCCTATCTAAATCAAGCTGACGACTCGGTATCAGACGAACTGTATTGCACACTAAGACTGTGTTTTCGCTATAGAAAACATCATGCTGGATGCAAGAAAGAAGATCTCGTTCACACAGCCACCTATCACTTACAGTAAAGGGCAGATTGCGTGGAAGTTGGTGCACATCCCTTCGACCGGTGGCCAGAGGGATTACATAATTGTCTTGTAATCCGGGGCTTCCGCATCGAGACGTCGTAGGTGTAGACGACCTCGCGATCATTTGTGGTCGCGCGTCTTCGAAGCGTCCGCGCGGTACGCCGGCTTACTGCCGATGCCTGCTCACACACTGTCGAGCAAAAGGACGTCTGGCGATGATGAACGCTGAGACTGATTGCATCGAACCGACTTAATGATAAACAATCTCCAAGATTTTTGAGCTATCAAAATAGAGCCCATCGTTATTTGGAATACCTAATCATCTCCGGGTGGGACTAACAGTAGGAGGTAAGTGAGTACCTGTGTATGACAGAATTCATTTCTGGTTGTTTCAAGGACAGTGAAAAGGATTAAGAACAAAAATGTAATTAGGCCTACAACCCCTGGGGTCATCTCAGTAAAGATATCTGTAGCTAGTTGGTCACCTGCTGAGTTAATCTCAATATAGCAAAGGAAACGGAAAGATGTGGGAACAATAAAACTTTCCCCTCAGCTTAATCGAATAAGTGATTCAACTTACAACCAGATTAATTCCGAAAATAGATCTATGAATTTGTCCTAAAACACGTTTAATGTATCAATGTGCCTCGTCAGCTTGCGTAAGAATGGCTTATGACGGTACGTCCTCAATCAATTTCATGGATATTTGACACAGCAAAGGTGACTTAGTGGCATCCACTATTTTTATAGTGTAACCAACCTATCCGTTCGAATACTGTTATATATACATAAATGAATAACCAAATAAAAGGAGTTTAACTTCGAGCGAGTCCACGAAGAATACAGGTCAGTTTTGGCATATTACGTGCGCTTGTACATGTAAACATTAAAAGGAAGGAGAACATTGCTCCTTGTTTGACTAATATTGCATGCTTCGTCATATCTTCCTGTGTAGGGAAGGAGGAAGTGGCGGCCAGCTCCGAGGTGATCGCATCGATGATTCGAACGCCTACTTATTCTTTAATTTCCCAAGATGATGTATGTGGATGGAACGGCGCAAATACTGCCTGGTTAAAATGAATGGAAACGTCTACTGTAACTGTTCGTATGAACCGGCCAACTGTGAACGGAGGATGTCAGCTGGTATGGGACTGTCCTGTCGTGTGGGAGCAGCGTCATGTCGACCAAGGTTGAAGGAGCAGGGCAGATTATATGCTCAGTCGATATGCCACTCATACATCAAGAAGTGTGTTGAAGTAAGGAGGGAATATTCAAAGGAACATCACTTTGTACTTTCCCCTCACTGCGGAGTGACTGTCACCTCTGCGTCATATTTGGTGAGCGTCCGTCGAGTGCTATTTCAAGGTCTCGCTCGACTCCTAGACACCACTGTCCTGAAAGGTGGTCCAGCCAAATATGCGAACAACATACGTGGTCTTTACTCGTATATGGCAGCTCACATCATAGCCTCTGATTGTCGAATGCTTTTCAGATAACGATCGCCATTGGTCTGGGCGATCCCATTTTCATCATACTCTACTTCAATATGGAATCCACCGTGTGCTGTTTGTTCGTGGAGTCACACATTGCAGATGTTGAGTTAAGGACCATAGGGTAAAGTTCACAGATAGTGTTGCTGCTTGACAATCTAGTTGCAGCGCAATAAATCCTCGGTAAGCCCTCTAAAGTAGCGGTATCCATCAGCATGTGTCACATTCTCAAGCTGTAGAAGGTGATTGTAAGACTACCAGTCTCGCGAAAGCATACAGACTACTAAGCGCTGATCATTTCTCTAGTAGCTGCTCGTATGTGTGAAGCTGACATATGAGTTGTAGGCACGTTGGAGGCCAATCAGTCACTGTGGACGCAAAGTGATCACAGTTAGATGATGAATCATGACGGTCCCACAGTGTCCCCCGTTGCTCAGTTGCATAAGCTGCTGACTAGCAGTGCAAGCCGCTGGTGTTCATGGGTTCGAATCCTGATGGATCCGTTGGATGCGCTATACTCATGATGCTTAACAGGCTAAAACTGCAGTCTCGTGCTTTTCCGAACATGTGGAGCGCCATCTGTTTTGGAAGATGGCTGTGACGAACCTCAATTATCTATATCAAAATCTCTACGTTTGAATATAATATATATCCGCCCTAACAGTTTCTAAACGCTATGTGGTACATAGTTACTGTTAGTGGACGTCGTGTCTTCCGGGGCCAACCGTGTCCTCTGCAACGTTCATAACTTGTATTGCAGTAGAGGAAAAGACGCGCTATACCACAGTAGTTGGCTTGTAAATCATGACGGTCCGAAGCTGTCCCAGTTGCTCAGTGGCCATAATCTGCTGACTGGCAGTGCAAGCCGCTGGTTGTCATGGGTTCGAACCCTAATGGATCCGATGGATGCGCACTACTGATGATCCCAACAAGCTGAAACGGCAGACCATTGCTTTCTTGGGCATGTGGACGACTATTTGATTCTGAACCTACTGCGACGAACCCACGTAACCAAAACAAAATCCGCTACTTATGAGTACATCAAAATATCCACCCTGACAGATTCGAAATGCTATGTCGTACATAGTGATATCAGTGGATGTCGTAGCTTTCGGGGCAAACCATGTCTTTTGCAAGGCTCGTAGCTTTCACCGAGTCAGTGCTACAGTTTGCGAGAGTGTAGGCCGCAATGACAAACTTGTACCGTTTGTTGCCGCGCGACTTCGAAGCTAGCCCATCTGACGGTGCACATCCGGCTGTTTACTGGGATCTATTCTATCAGGGTAGATTCAGCCTGGGGACACAGAGCGATGGGCACAGGGACTTGACTGCCATTTGAAGCTGCGTCATCTCCGGGCAAGTGCAATGAAAAATTGCCGCCAGTTTCCCATGTGTGAGTACGCAGGGTTTCCACTAAACGGCACATATAGATCGGCATGGTCTCAAGTGTTATGGCAAATGCTGCTTGTTGGTCAAACTGCAACAAAGTGCGCACGTGAAAGCATGCAAGCATTAAGGAGGATCGAGGGTAGTAGCAGTAGCATCCACACCCCTATCTACCTTGCTCAATGCAGTAGATGGGCACCGTCGTTTGTCCACTACGACGACCAAAGCGACAGGGAAGTGTTTAAGAGAAATTCATTGTATTGCGTAGGCAACAAGTCGATGTTCAACCAAGCGGACAACGTCAGTTCATCCACGCCTATTTGGAGCCCTCGGTCATCCCTAAAATTGGCAGGTCCCAAAGTGTGCACCTTGTTACACCTTGGCCACCAGGCAGTACTTGCCCAAACACTAGAGACCTATCGACGGTGAGCAACGGCTTGATAAACTACCAGAGGTATGAACAACTTCGGCCCACAGCCTCATCCATTCCCCGCATTTATGGCTTGTCAAGAATGCATAAACCAGATGTACCATTGGTGTCCATACTGGATGGGAGAAATTCACCGTATCGTAATATCGCATAATGGTTGACAAGAATAATTAATCCCACCAGGGAATCGATTGCTGCATATAGACTGATAGACACATTACAATTTGTCGAAAATGTCATCATCAACATTATACGTACATGTTAGCTGAAGTTGAGAAACACACCTCAGCTATTGTGCCGCAATGCAAAGAAGATAAGGTATTACACATTACCGACTTCAAAACTAAATTCACTATGATGCTGAATAATAGATTATGTGTTGGATTCGTGGCGAGAGGAGAAACTCGAGAACTCCTCTACCAGCGTTGCGCAAACGAATGTCGAGCTAAAGTTGGAGAACACGGGCTGGTTCGGTGAAATGGGGAGGCCGTTTGGCAAAACGTCCTGCTAAAGCGTGATAGCAAGGACAGTATGAACGCCACGGTCAGGACTGCTTAAGCAGAGTAAAATGTCCCGACCGGAAGGATGCGATGAGAAACAGGGCCAAGAATGTTGGCACCAAGCACGCTACTGAACCTCCCTGCAATATTCTGTGACACATAAAGGGCGCCTCATTCTTAATATAAATGAAGTCCGAATTCTACATTTCGAGGGCGAATCACAAAAGGTACGAGATCGTTCCTGGAGAAAAAGCTGAAGGGAAGTGAGAGGGACAGCGAAACTTCTTCATCCTAACAAGTTTATCAAAGCAGACGTGTTTATCGTCCTTGGGACCCCAGCCCGACAGTCTGGAGACACCACTCGAAGCCAACTCCGACCGACAATGGAACTTAGAGCAAACGGAAGTGGATTCTCCAGGTCGGAATTGCGCAATATGTAACCGCCAATATAAAGTCTGACACGCATCGAAGCATGCTTTGGAATACATTTTTGTGCTTTCCGAGGGAAAAGCACTGTTATGTGACTGACCGACACACACAAGCACGGTACTATCGTTAACGTGGTAGATCGGTTTACTTGACTCGGTAATTAAAACTTCTGTGGTGGTCGCATTACCTAAGAGGTTGCTACTCGTATTGCCAAGGGTAGTGTGGCCTTCAACTTGTCCGCCACACATAAGTATGGAGGCATTTTAGGTTAGCGGTTAAGGGTAACGATTATAACGCTGGAATGCGACTAGTGTTGTCGAATGATTCAGAGATTTCGCCGCGTCTCGCTGAGGACAGCAGCAGTTTAGGAGTATCTAATTATTGTAAAATAAAAGAAACGAGTTACCGGAAGGAGTTGGACAAAGAAAATAAACTACTAATCCACACACAATTGTAACTGTACACCGATTTGTGAGAAACAAGCATCGAGGTCCTGGGTGATGAAATGTTGAAATGTTAGTCGCTGGATGACGCTCGAGGTTCATCGATATAAACCCCGATAGAATGAGTAAGTAAACGGTGAAATATGCCTTTAGGAGGGGCGGTAATTCGATCAAAAGTTGACAGAAACAAGCAATCTGTTTGTAACTACGAGCTAGCATCTATTATTGCAATGCACAAAGCAATAAACTGAGCAAGCTGCCCTGGCACCTGATCACGTGAGCGAGGTCGAGTGGGTTTGCGTCGAGAAGTCACCACCTTCTATACCATTTTACACGCATATTAGCGCATTGTACCAAGCTTTTAGCGTGGCACCTTTTCGAAATCGCGTACAGTGCTTTCAAGTTAGCGAGGTTTCCTTCAGATAGGCATCAAAATGGAACAGAAGGTGGTGCTCGACCACCTTCCTTGGACTGTCTGTCACTTATGCTGGAGGCTTCCAACCGGTGACCCGTTGTCTAACGTCCAATGACCAATGAGTGTCAACGACGCCAAAACAGCGTTCTTAGCCTCGCTAACTTGAAAGCACTGCGTACGATTTCAAAAATGTGCCACGGTAAAAGCTTGGTACAATGCGCTAACATGCGTGTAAAATGGTATAGCCTGATGGTAGGCTACGGAAATTGCAGTGGTTGTACCATCTTGTTCTGAACTCACAAGTCGGAGCTTGTTAGCAGTATGCAAACTGCTTCCGCAGTTGCCAGTAGGCTTGTTCTTACTCGACGGCTATGTCTTAGCGGTATTCTGTAGAGAACTTGAAAGGCAGCTTGTCTGTTTACCTGGTGACCGGTGTTCATTGGATGGTTCGTAATTGCACTGTAACTGGATCGGTTTTCGTGATAAAGAAGCCAACTTGGGAGGTGTTCCTTGGTTCTCTTATCTAAATGCCTGGTCGTACATCCATGGTATTCAGCTCCACATGTGCAGGCGAACCGGTAGAGTAGCTATGGTTGGAGATGATCAGACACAGTCTATGAATTCTGATCGATAGATCAATTTAGATTGTCTAAACAAATATGCTCACAAACGAAATACGCGTTGCTCATCTGTTGCAGTACTTCATGGGCATTTCGGAATGTCAGCATATCGACCGACAGCCGGATGTATAATGCCTCACCGCGATGAAACAGGAAGGTTCCCAATGTACACGGAGGATCATCGTTTGTTGCGAAGTCGCGTCATGTTTTCTGTGACGGAGTAGATCTGTCATTTTGTGTTTGGTAACAGCGTCCTGGAAAATCTGTTCGGCCGGAAAAGACTCCACCGGCTAGATCATCTCTTTCGCTATCTACTAATATATTTTCTAAGCAAGATGATAGGTCCCCCGAAGTGAGTCTTCTGGTTTAACAATAGTTGAAACCAGGCATGATTTTTGTTTACATTTCGGCAAGGCTAAGAGCGTGGAGTACAACTGGCAATTAAGAATACAGTCGAGCCAAATGCATCGCTGCCTTATTCGCTTACTTTCTGTCGAAACCAACGGTAGGTACTTTAAAAATCTGCAGCGAAGCAATCACTAAATCTAGCAGAAATTCTTTAGTCGTGAAAATAAAATGAAAGTTGGATGAACTGAAGCAACTGAGATAAGCCATCAAATCACGCAACAAACATGAAATAGTCAATTTCTTCCTGTGAACATATGCCTTGCTAGAGCCGAAACACTTTATTCGTAGTTATAGCCGCATTTGGAGAGTCATAGAGCTTTCGGAATGCATGTTTCGTACACATTTGCGCACAAATTTATGTCACCGAATTATACAACCCATAAGGTTTGGCAGTAAGCAACATTGCAAACTGTTGAAAATACCTCCGTGAAAACCAATCCGAGTGCTGATATTTATTTTCAACTTGGTGGGCACGATTCGCACCATTCGTGAGCCCGATGGAGATACGAAAGTTAATCTACAGGCACCAAACTCAGATTTCATCTTTACTCGTAGAAAATTTGGATGGACCCCGGATGTGTTTGATTGCTGCGGAGATATGTTTTAGCATGCGGACTGGCAAAATATGTGCACTCGAACAACATTTCCACGGTTCTAAAAAGTTTATGGTAACTTATATCATGTGGAATTGTCAGATGTTGCAAACGCAATAACTAAATGGATGTATTTTTACAGAACTAATATATATATATATGTATATATGTATATAAAGTCAACCTTCGCACCATATATCACAGCTCTTTGTGTTTAACTGATGTTTCATATTTGAAATGTAGTTGTACTTCTCCCAGACAGTTTTACCCTTAGAATCGCAACAAGGCGCAGCATTTTCAGATATGCACACCATCTTCTCAATTGCAATTCAGTAACCCGATCATTGTTTCCTGCACATTCGACCCAGCTAGGTACAGTGAAAAACTTCCGATAACTAAATGCATTGAGAAATTAGTAATTGGATATCTTTGCATCCTTTGCAGTATTCACATCCAGATCGCAAACAACAGCCTTATTTTGTTTTCGCCCAGCTTGTCCAGTAGTAATTCGATGACAAGGCACTCACTTTTCCAAAACTTCCTCTGCCCAAAACGACCAGAAAATTGAAATCGCTCCATCGTGGAATGTCCGGCTTATGTCGATAAGATTGTGTGCCCAACGTACATGTTTCGGATTTGGTTTCGGAGGTCAAACGCATTCCCTCCGTGGACATCCGCTGTGGTAGTGCAAGGCATACACACACGGGAAGACAAACGATTATTGTTTGCAATGAAGCAAACCATGTGAAACTTGGGTTAGGTGACCTGGAATTGTAGTTATCAAATCCTAAAGTTGGAAGCCATGGCGCATGTGACATGTCACATTCAGCTAGAAAATACAGAGAAAATAATAGTCCGCTACTTGAATGTAGAACATCATATGAACAATTGCCTTCATTTAGTTATGTGTAATCGTGCTTATTTTTGATCAGAGGGCATGGCGTGCATGTGATAAAAAATTGTATTGAATCCAATAGAGTGAATAAAGCACAACTGATATACACAAAGGTGGGTAAAACAGCGAGGGGTATAAGAGAGGATGTGAAGTAAGAGAATACAAAGCGTAGCTCCAGATCGGTTGTTTAACAGCTACCGTATTCCGGAACATATGTGCGAAGCTGCAGAGGTGGAACAGGCTGAACCGCTTTAAAGCAATGAGATCCACTGGCTCAGTTATGGCAACATGTCGGAGATGCGTTTTACAGCAGGGAGAGTAAGTCCAGATTAATTGATCGAGTAGCGCCATGTAACTGGACAGTCCGCATCGAAACAATGATCCGGTAGAATGTCGAACAATAATGTGTTTCGCAAAGCACCAGAAGCATTCAGCTTTTAGTGTTTTGCTGTGAGACAATTCCAGTCGGCATTATTACGGCAACCCTAGAAGTACCATCCACTTTTCCGGAATGAATGCTGAGATCTATTTGGTTGCATTTGATGCCTGTTGCATGAGAATACGATGAGCACCCGGTTCGCATTAAGTGGTAAACCAGAATTGTAAAGAATAAGAATATGAAGATTAAACTCAGATTTACTGAAAATATGAGAACCGTTCAGTTGATAACGACAGTTTAAATTGTTTACACGATAACCTGGTATCTACGCACTACTCCGCATTCGTACAACAGTACAGTCGACCGGTGGCCAAAAGGATTGAATGCTTGGCTTGCAATCCTTAGGTCATCAGTTAGAATACGCGTAGGGGAGGGAGTCCTCGCGGTATACTCAGCTCACGCGCGACTGGTGGTGGTGACTTTCGTGCAACAGGGCCTTGAGCAAGCGTTACTTAATAGCAGATTGCATGTGAGTGCTTGATTACCTGGACAAATTTGTCGGCTCTGTATGCGACGGTTGTTTGGTGGACTCCATGTTTCTGCCACTGTGTCTCTCTGTGGGGTATATTAAGCTCATAGCGGAAGCGTTTGCCTGCAGTTTGATGAGCGCGTAAATAAGCCATCTTTATACTCAGAGTAGAAGAAGTGCGGTATCGTTAAACTGACCACTAATCGCCTGTGAACACATCGGCTTGCATAAATGGATTTGATTTGACCAATATTCTCTTCACCTAACACGGTAACTATTATGCATTGGTCAACCCAGTAGATAATGCTAATGAGAACTTGACAGCATAACTATGGAATCTGTGCGTCCGGTAAGTACACTTGTCCTCTGCACCCTGGAGATGAGCGTATCGGTACAAGGATTATTCATGTTGTATCATCGAATGTTACTTCATGGTGGGGGCTACCGCTCATCAAGCCAAGAGCCAGTCGGTCAGCATACCAGCACAAACCAAAGCGATTCACTAGAGAGGCGAATGTTGACCCCATTCACAAGAGCCCATTCCGGCGCAGTAAGGATGTGAATGCATATACTGTTGTAGGTGAACCTTGACCGTATGAGTATCCACCTTATAATGATGTGCCAGAGCATGTGAGGTGATCACCCGAGATAAGACGGTGAATCGCTGTCACTAGACATATCACTGAAGTTAGTGCTACCATCGATCCTGGGACACTGCTTCAATGTAGCAACTTTCGGCACTACACCAATCACTGTTCGAAGCAAATTGAGTTCAGTTCAGTTGATCAAGACTGATCCCAGTATCGAAGTAAGGGGGATCCAGCTGCCAAGACACACGTGGTCAGATTGGCAGTAAATAGTGACGATAAGAGGATGGGACTGAACGCAAAAAGAATACCAAGACAGTGAAATCAAGAGGGAAATGTGTAAAACTAATCGGAATAGAATGAAAATCAACAGTTGGATGCAAGAAACCGAATGCAGGAACGCCACTGGCCACGCGACTGCACCAGGTCTGATGTTCTCCAATCACTGATGGGGACCACCCCGAGGCCCCCATGCATGAAGAATGTACGCGCCAGCCTGAGCAAATAGCCCCGTCCGAATTCACTAGATATTGCACAAATTCCACACGTTTTTAACGAGAAATTTCATATAACACAAGTGATATGATGCGCAAAGAGCCAGAGCAGGCGTACTACGCGGATCAAACAGTAAATGAGTAGGGATTGGAATGACAACGGCGTGAAACAGTTCGTATAGCGTTAAGGGGAATATCCCTTTACAATAACAAAATTGGCATATGTCTATCAACCCATCTGATAGGGATACTAAGAAGAATGATGCTTTTCAACTATGAAACGATTCATTAGATTGAGTATCGCTGGGTCAACGTGAACTGTGATGTAGAACAATGAAAGCTGCTATTTCCTAGCACCGCACTCCACGACCGACCGGTCTCGTCCTGATTTCGACTCGTCAGGTAGAGCTAGCTTGAGCTGAGAGGGGAAGCGGACACAGTGATTGAGGGGCTTGTTCTCAGTGACTACGCCAGAGCTCCACAGCAGCGCTTGACATAGCGGTTAGAAGTTCACTATTGGGTCTTGCATTACCCGCCGTGTATCTGGATTGCGACACACACTATCGAATGAGGCGACAGTTTTCTTTGAAGCAAACTTATGCCATTTCGATCACTAGGACCGCATCCGAAGTGGAGAGGCTGGGAGCTGCTTCCTCTCAACACTGGACAGCACAACCGACCGGTTTCGTCCTGATTTGGACTCGTCAGGTAGAGATAGCTTGAGCTGAGAGGGGAGCCTAACACAGTAGTTGACGGCTTTCGTCTTGGTCACTAGGTCAAAGCTCCGCAGCAGCGCTTAACACAGCGGTTAGAAGTTCATTATTGGCTCTTGGAATACCCACCGTGTGTCTGGATTCCGACACGCAATCTGGACCGAGGCTACAGTTTGCGTTGAAGCATACGTATACTATTTCGATCACTGAGCTCGCATGTGAAGTGGAGAGTTTCGGAGCTGCTTATGCCTCATGTCAGGTGGGCTCTAGCACACACCTTACTAACTTTCAAAACAGGTCCGAAGAGAACCAGGTTGTGCAGGAGTAGAGAACATATATGTAGCCGGTAGATTGGCAGATTTTGCAACTCCTCAATTTCCATGGGCGAACGTACGCGTATTGGGGTTTACTTTGCCGCAGCATGCCGATAACGCGGTATGCGCGCGGGATAAGTGTCGCATTATCACCACCGCAGTTTAATTGTGTTTGCACATTCGAGAGTGTGTCGTTATGTATTTAACAAAGTGTGTGCATTGATATCTGCAGAACTACCAGTATTTGATGCGGATACTAACAAGTTGACTACAAGTGGAATGCCGCCATCTCGATTTGTGGTTCCAGAAGGCTACAGGAGGAGACCGGGTGCACAATCTTTACGATACGTTTGAGTTCGCAAGATGTTTCCATCCAGTTTGGAACGGACTGAAGCTCAGTCACCGACATGTGGTCTGTGTCTGGCAAGTATGTTTGCTCAGTTCGGATGAACGATGTGCTTCCCATCTACATGCCCCCAGTTTTACTACTTTAAATATGGGTGTATGGATGGGGTTATGGGTAATGCGGCGCATAGTCCCTTGGAAGATGCAGGCGTCCTGTGGCTGTTCAACGTCACAGTCGCAGCGATAGGCAAATTCGAAAACCCACGCAATTAATCATAGTCGAAGCACAAAGGTATACCAAACTGAAACACTAGACCAGGACATGCCATTGCGTACGCTCGCAGCTACCGCATGGATCGAAGCGGATTACGCTGTGAGAGGTCTACGGCAATGAAATCACCTTATCCTCCGCATTCAAAAGCTTCATGGTTGCCATACTTAAGGTCATGTCAGCAGGTATTATAGCTCGAAGCAAAGCACATGCAGCACGCTCCATCATTAATAGAGAACAATAAGCTGAACATTTTTCCCTTGTTTGAACAAAATTGCTGTCAAACAACACCGCTAAAAAGGAGGCATTAATGATGCGATGTGTACCACACCCGTAACAAACGAGTAATAATATGCGATAGAACAACTGGAACAATTATGTTTCATACCTTCTGCTACCGTAATTAGGAACATTTTGGAGTAATGCACACGGGATGATTTACTTTAAACTTACGGTTGACCCGTTGTTGTCATGATTTGAGGTTATACGCGGATAGGCCCATTGCAGCTCACTCCCAACACGAACTAAAATGTTCCCCGGGAAACAGTAATGAGGCATTACTGCCAACAGTTGGGATGCTGGTGAGAATACTTTCGGCATCCAGACCCTGGTGGTTGTTTGCCATATTCGTTGCGCTTCAATACAGTCGGATAGGCAATCAGTCGTGTGAATTTGGACCCTGGGCCTTAACATATCGACTCCTTAGTCAAATAATCACAACCAGCCACACGACAGTTACACACGTGTTGACATGGTAACAGCGGAAACAGGTCTTGAGGGGCCGCCTAGGATAAAATCTTACACATTTCCCACGCGAAATGCTTGTTTACCAACGATGCTAACGGAAATGTATGCAACCTTGTGATTGCGTGCAACAAATTGTCGTTTTACCGCAAGGGAGATATCAACGGTTGAGCAGATAGGTTCGATGCATGCATTGCTGCTTCTAATGTATAAATTGATCAAAATCCACCGATTTCTTTTATAGTCACTGCATTGGAGTTCGAAATCTCAAGGTATCCTTAGTGAGGCGTTCGATCTGAATCCGGTTTTACATAAGAGTTTGCACCCTGGGTGTCAATATAACTCAGATTTTCCTTTGAACCAACCACTGGTTTCATTAAACAACAGGACAGGCTGTAGGTTC